CCCTGACAAAAAAGTTATCGGTCGTCGGCCGCCTTGGGGGCCCGCCGTGGGTCGCTCGACCGGACTCACCAGAGCGGCTCCCAGACCTCCACTCCCAGAACTTCACTCGTCTGGCTCGAAGCGACAGCGAAGGCGTCGGCTCTTCCTTTTCCTGGGCAGTAGCAGCACTGCCTCCCTTCTTCCTAGCAAAACGGTCCCGACGAGCCATCTTCCCCCTCTGCTCACTGACTGACAACCCAGCTCCGAGAGCCGCCACTGCCGCCAGCTACTCTGACAGGCAAGACTAGGGACCCGTCCCCAGGCAACCAACCACCACCGCCCCACTCCAGTTCGGCCTATGGCCGTCGCCCGGGGCGGGACCAGAACAACTTCTCCGCCAATGAGAATCTTCCTCTGCTAGGTCTGGGGCGGAGCCGTGAGATGGGAGGGAGAGCTACTTCGGTGGGCGTGGTCTCCGCAGTGGGCGTGGTCGGAGCGCCCAAGTGGAGATGATTGACTGTCAGATTTGCGACAAAGAGTGATCCGTGAAGGTCTCTAGACGCTGAGCCGTTAGGATTTATGGCCCGCTCAGAAGAAAGCAAGCCTTTCGGAGTGACGTTAACCATAATCACAGAAGAGGAACTAACTGATTTTAATTTCTTGATCAGAAGGACTTACTTCCCAGTAATTGGAGACACAAGAATTTATCAAAATTTTACTAAATTCTAAGCCAAAAAAAAAAGTACGTTTTTATAAAGTGGTAATAAAAACTTTTCCCACTTAGCCTGGAAAAAGTCAATCCCTATGATATTAAATTTCTGGAACTTTAAGGAAATTTTAGCTCAAACATACTTCTATTAAAATCAGCAAGAAAATCGCTAGGTAACATGACTATTTTTTTTCCCCCCACCCCCCACCCCTCCATCTTCCTACTTGCCTATTCTTCTAGACACACATTATTTTCTGTAACGATTGGCACCTGAGCACATCTGAGCCAGCGCCTACATACAGTCCCTCTTTTTTGACCTTGTCAACTCCTCCTACCACATCCCTCTCAAATCCAATCAGAATTAATTAGAAGAAAAATGGACCCTCAACCTGGAAGACAGGAAGTCATTCTAGGTTTTTACCAGAAAGAGGAAAGACTTCTAAAGCAACAAGTAAGCTTTCCAAATATGCCACACACAAATAAGAAAACATATTACTTCATATCAAAAGAGCATTAAGCAAACAATTTTAGGTAATCATTTGGGCGGATCTATAGAACAATCAGACAGGATCTCCCTTCCAAGAGCATAGCCATGATTGTTAGCAAATAATAACAAAATGCAGTGATAAGGGCAACAGAGCTAGGTTCAAAGAGCAAGGAGAACACACAGGAAGAAATTATTGTGTTTAAGAAAGGGAACTTCACAAGGAAGGTGATGTTTGAATAGGATCTTAAAAGATAGATAGGAGTTTTCCAGAGAATAAAGTCAAAGGGCATTTCAGGAAGAGAAACAGCATGTTCAGAGGCATGGAGTTGTGAAAGGGCACTGGGTGGTTAGGGAACATTGAAAAATGCGGAGGCTGAAAAGTGAGTCCCAGCCAAAAATTAAGCTAGAGCAAAAGGTTGAGATGATTGTAAAAGGCCTCATGAGCTACACTAAGGTGTTTAGATGAGCATTGTCATAGTGAAATAACTCATAAGGTTAGTTAACACATCCACATCCATCACCTCATATAGTCACCATTCTTCTTTCTTTCTGTGTATGTGTGTGTGTGGTGAGAACATCTAAGATCTACTCTCTTAACCTTCAAATATATGATACAGTATTGTTTATTATAATCACCATGCTGTACATTACATCCACAGAATTTATTTATCTTATAACTAGAAATGTGTACCCTTTGACCGTAACTTCCCTATTTCCCCCAACCTCTAGTCTTTGACAACCACCAATCTATGCTTTGTTTCTGTGTAACATGACTATTTTAAGTGAAAGAGTTAGGAGAATTTTGACAAAACATGAAAAATATATTACTTTAATGGTCAGTATACTTTTTAAAAAATCAAGATAAAAGAATGTGACTAAGAGGTCGTTCTGTCTTGCTGTGCCAGATTTCCCTTCTTTGAGAGCCACTCCAGCCAGATCCCCTAGCTGAGGCAGCAGCCTATATGGTCTATGCCATATAATGCCCTTCATAGAACAGATAACCAGGCCTAAAAGGTGACCTGATGTGAACACCAACTAAACAGGGATGATGGGGACTACCTACCTCCATTCTCTTTCAAGAATATGAACTGGAAATGGAAAAAAAAGTCAATCACCTTGTGGGAGTAAGGAACTAGGAAGAAGCCCTGAGAAGCCCTAAGAGGGGCAAGTTATGAGTAAACTGAAGACATTCGATTCGGCAGAGAAAAGACATATAAAGTGGAGGATGAAGTCATTGGTAACAAAGGAGTAGTAGAGGTAGAGACAGTACAATGAGTCACTATAACAAAGATGGGGATCGATGAAGTCCTGCTGTCCAGGGGACAATGAGCTCATTTCCTACAGCTGCACCAGTGTTTGTGTTCAACAAATGTAAGATCCAATGGCAGCTCTTCCCGAAATCCTGTAAGATTCCCATCTGCATCACCTAAGATATTCTAAGTGAATTGCTGTACCTTTCACCTTGTATAAACCAATAGGTGGACTTCCAGAATTACAGACCAAGTGAAAGAAGCTGGAAATCGAAGAAGTGTGTGACCTGTTTGCTGCCTCTTCTCTCTGGGTGAGAAGTTAACACATAGGAAAAAATTTTGGACCAAATCTCCTGCTGTCCGGCAGCCACAGCCATGAAGGCCGAGCTGTGCAGCTTCAGTGGGTACAAGATATACCCCAGACACGGGCGGCGCTATGCAGTACACACACACACACACACACACACACACACACACAATCGGTTTTACTGGCCATTATCCATGTGAGCCACCATGTGTTGGCCTGATTTAAAGAGCCAGAGTCTCCAGTGTCAGGAAGGCCCATTAGGACTAGGGCAAAACTCCAGGAGAGTTGAAGGCCTGAACCACACCTGCGGAAGTAAGGATAGGAGGGAGAGGCAAATGTTTATTGACTTTCTGCACTACAAGGCATTCAGCTTGACCAGAATGCAAAGGAATGCTAGAAGCTTACAGTATACATAGCTGGATAGCAGGTGAAAAGTTAAGCGAAGATTAATCATTCGGCACAACAATGAAAGAGATGACACAAAGCAGAACATGACTGATTAATTATTCAGAGGATTTCCTAGGCGAAAACCGGTGTGTGAGTTCAGAAGAGGGAGCAAGTCCAGCAGTCAGGGAAAGCTTCACAAGAAGGTAATACTGATCTGAGTCTTGAGAAATGAACAGGAATTCGA